CCCCCCCCTTGTTGTTCTGTTTGCCGCACTTGGGAAGGTAACTGTGAAATCAGTGTCTGCGAGTTGTACGGCATTTTACTGGAAAGCCATAAACCTGTCTCATACCCTGATGTTTCACGATTTACTTACGAGCTTAAAGGAAATGCTTGAGCAGTGTTCCCTCTGCAGTTCTCCTTCGGTGAGGGGAAGCCAAGGGCAGATGCTAATATTGCCATGTCATTTTACAGTTTATCCCATCTACCCAAACCGGGGGTGTATACAAACCAAGGTGCCGTGGGGTTCTGTTTCTGAGACGCAGCCTGTAACCTCAGGGGTCACACTTGCCGGCCCAGTGAATTACTTAGCTTGCCCTTTATTGCTGCTAAAACTTCGGCTTCCGTTTAAACAAACAAAGCGATTCAGAGCCGTTTATCCGGCAGAAGTGCAGTGAGCAGGATGTCCCGGCAGCGATGCCGTGTGTGCTCGCGTCACCCAGCAACCCCTCTGCACTGTCCCTGCTCGCGCTGAGCGGGATTGTCTCCTCACTAGCGACCTGCACAGGGGCCCTTGCCTTCCCCGGGCAAACAGCCTCCCTTCAGCCCACCATGTGCTTGCGCTTTATCTCTAATACACGTGCTTCTCTATGTACACGCATATAACATTATGCTAGTCCTTTTCTAAAATTAACCATTTAAAATATTTATTTTTTTTAAGATGCAGCTTCATGAGGTATATTTAGCCCATTAGCAAAATTAGCTGATGAGACCCAAACCCAAACAGAAAAGACATGGGCATCAGTATGTGCAGAATTGGAAAACATATGGAAGGTTGTTATATACACTTCAGGTCATAAATTAATAGTCGGTTTATTCTTCAATCAGGAAAAGGCCATTAAGGTTTGTTCAGCTCTGGTCTGTGGGAAAATAATTTCTTTGACGTCCCCCTAAAGACCCCCAGAAGTTTTCTTTCCTCTGTCATGAGCAGTCTGCTCTTTCCTGTTTTCCGGACAGAGGGAAGAGTAGGACCTCTGGAGAAAAGCTGTTTTTTAGCATCTTGAATTTCACTTTGCATCTGTCTTCCTACCTGCTGATTTAATTTCTCTTTGCATTTGGGACCTTTCTAAATCTGCCTAGAGAAAACTGTGGAATAGAGAGAGTTGTGTATCATTATTTATCAGCTTTTTCTTCCTTGCTGGTGGTCAGTGTTGCAGCTCTGAAGGAAACAGACATTTGAAGGCAGGGGGCTGAGGAGTGGGAAAGCACTGCATGGAAAGAAATTCAATTTGAGGAATGAGAGGAATGGATAAAAAAAGGTAGGGCTGATGACTTTTTCATTGCATAGATTTCCTACAGGAGCAGTGGTTACTGATCCTGGGTCTGCTTATTTATTTAGTGTGTTTCTGAGATGCATGAGCTCCTAATCTGGCCTGTGTCACTGGAGCACTCCAAGCTTCCATGGACGAGCCCCAGGCCTGGCCCACAGCCTCATCATTAGAAAGGAGCTCTTCTCCAGCCCATGCACCTGCTGGCAGAGTCACTATACACCATTTAGGGACCCACTGCCCACCCACTCTGGGGTCACACTGAACCCCAGAGACCAACAGGCTGCTGCTGTGAGGCTGGGAATTTGATATCAAAGGGCCATTTGCCTTGCAGGTAATCAGACTTTCCCCTTCCCTCTTCTCACTCAAAATTTTAAGGTGCTATTTTAGGGTTCCCCTTGGCTAACATTGGCACAGATGCAGGCCAGAAGACCCTGGCAGTTCATGATCCCAGCATGGTGGCTCTCCATCCTCATGAACGGTGGGGTAGGCTTGAGTGGAGTGGTCTCCATACCAGGAGCTGATGGGCCGCTGATGCCTTAAGTGCTGTCTAGCTCTCCTTTGGTCAGTGCCTCCTCAAACTAAACCCTCACTGTTCCTCCTGGGCCAAATTTCGGTACAGCCCCTGCTCTTTCTAGTCCAGTACTGGTGGTGCTTGATAGCACAACATGGTTGAGTGAGAACCTACCCAGCCAGCAATGCAACCTCACAAAGATCCCATTGTTCAAACTGGGCACATCAAGACTGGTCCTCAGAAACACTGACAACTCTCTCCTTCCCTTTGTAAAGGTTGAGGCAAACCTACTGTGGATATCTGTGCTTTGTGTGGACCTCTGCCCTTGTGGTGAGACTCGCACATGCCAGCAGCCCGGGAGCTGGCAGTGATGGAAGCCTATGTCAAGAACTGTGCTGTGAAAGGCAGTGATTAAAATTAGGGGTTTTCTGCTGGGGAAGTCTCAATTCTGGGCCTAAGTTTCACTGATCTGATGCATCATGAACAAGGTTTACTTAGGCTTAAATTTGCCCCCATTTTCTTGACAGTTCTACTATCTCTATAACCATGAGGCAGAAAAAGAATCAGGGCAAAAAGAAAAAGTGATAACACTAAGAAAAAAAGACTGAGTTTGTTTAATCAATTTTTGACCTTTCAAAAAGAAATTTTAGCATGATGTAAGTATTTTAAAGGCAGTTTACACAAAGCACTACAGGTAAGATTCCTTGAATGACATTGTTTAAAAAGGGTGCTGTGGAATAGTAATCAGAAAAATGAGTCAAATGAAAACCTAGGCTGCTTCTTGTAGGAAAGAAATGCTAAATATGTATTTTTCATCCGTAGTTGTCTTTTTGTAAGGGAGTTGACTAAAATATTCCTAAAATGTTCCTGTGTACCAATAATGGGCCTCGGACACATTTTCTGAGTAATTATTCAATTTACTGTTGCACTGGAGTGTTGAATTATTTTCAGCTTTGGCTTTTCTAAGCTCATCTCTAGTGCAGTGAAAGCTTTTGCCTTGGTACTAACCAGCTGTATGCAAGAAGTGATTCAGCGGTGTTTGGTGCCCAAAGTTATTGTCTTGGAATCAACTAGGGTGGAGTTAATGCCTTCAAACGTGAATTGGAGACTACCTCTGACAGAAGGTTGAACTGCTTCCCTCAAAACAGCCTTGCTAAAAGGCAGGAGGTACCTTCTGTAAACAAGTATTTCTGGGAACAGTTTTTTTCCTTTCAGGTTGGTTTTGTCCCTTGAAGAGTGAGATCTGAAATGCCTAAGAGGACATTGAAGAAGGTTCACCTGGGGCAATAACCCTACCCATGATAATCCTCAATGAGAGACTGTTACCTAAGAGCAGTAGTGATGATGGAGTGATACATACTTACTTTTTATTATGAATCTCATGATTTATTTAATTTTTTCTTACTACCTGGGAATGATATATGAAAATGGATAGGCATCCCATGCTTGATGGAGGTAAAACCTTCTCATCCATGGCAGAGAGTGGAGTTCCTGAGAGATAATTCCTTGTAACTGCCCTTTGCTGACGGACAGATTCAGTTTGTTCTTACTCAGGCATGTGGAATGAATCCAGCTTTCAGCTCCTGTATTTGTCTTTTGATTCCAGTGTGATCTGTTTGCTTGGCACTGTTTTTTCAAAACTTTGACTTTTGGGTTGCACTGTCAACATTATCGTGTGAGAGCTGAGCTTGCTTTGCTCACAGAGGTGCCCGACTGCAGGAGGACAATGCAGACCTGTGCAGCACATGGACCACATTACAGTGAGGAGTCACCTGTTGAAACAGCAGAGATCATGCCATTTTTTACATATGCACAGCAACAAAGTGGAGAGATGGGCTGCTTGAGATAGTTCCAAAGCCAGAGGTTGTTGAAATATTGATGGAAGTGCACACTCCTTCATTTCTATGCTTCTGAAATACAAAATATCCATTAAAAATGACAGACTTGAAGCCAAGGCAAGCAATTTTGTAAGTTAAACCTGAACACTTTTACTTGCAAGTACTGATCTTGTGATGACAGATTCATCTTTCCAGCTCTGGCAAATTTGTTCCTACTGTAGCCTTGCTGGAAATTACCCTGCAAGTGTTTATAATCCTGTCCGACTGTGAAGAAATCCTTGTGGGATGCATAATTCAGATGAAGGGAGGACCTCGTTGCTATGGGTCTATGTAAGGTGGGTCTATGTAAGCCTCACAAAATGGTTTGAGTTGAAAGGGCCCTTACAGAGAAAGGTTTTCTAGTTCCAACCTTCCTGCCATGAATAGGGACACCTCTCACTAGACCAGGTTGCCCAAAGCCCCATCGAATCTGGCCTTGAACACTTCCAGAAGAAGGATATCCACAATTACTCAACAAGTAGTTTTGGATTTTGTCTTTTGCACTGGAAAGCCCTGGTAGTCTTAAATCATGCTACACATATAACTGTATTTTGACTCACTTTTAAACTAAAATAAAAATACCCAGACAGTGCTTTGCACAGAAGTTTAACAACTATTAAATATATAAATAGACATCACATACTAAAATACTGTGTTAATATGAGCCATATAAACAGAAGAGAGCAGAAACACAGAAGTCTTTTAACCCAATCTAATTTTGTGTCTAGACAAGATTTACTCAGCACCAGAGTCTGCCTCAATGTTGCTTTCTGGTACTTGAGGTAGATACAACACAGTCCTGCTTCTCAACGTTATTAATTTTCCTAGTGGGCTGATGCCTCTGAGGAAAATGGCAAAAACATTTCCAAGACTGCCACTGGAGTCACAGAATGTGTAGCCAGTGAATCCAGGGGTCCTTGGTACCAGCAAGAGGCTTGCAGTTCTTTTAGCATTATTAATATTATGGTTCTGATCACAGCTGATGGGGGAAGGA